GTGTGTGTGTGTGTGTGACCTCATTGATTGTGTACTGCTATTTACAACGCCTTTTTGTCACCCCAGAGACTCTGTGCCCCATTCCCCTTTTCCCTAGCCCCCATAGCCACTCACAAACCCTCGGCCCTATTCCTTTGCCTGGTCTTCAGTGAGATCATTCAGGGTTTGTCCTTTTGTGTTGGACTTATCTTTCTCAGAATCATGTCTTCAAGGTTCAGCAGCGTCGGACGTCAGAAAGTTGGTGGAGAAATTCCACGATCGCTTCATTCCATCTCCCCCGTCCCCCACCCCCGCCAACCCCCCCATGTTTTGAAGCCCTTCACGTCGATAAGAGACTCACTGCCGTGGGGCCAATGCCAGCGCACAGCGACCCGACAGGACAGGGTACAACTGGCCTCTATGCGTTTCCAGACGGTCACTCTGTATGGGAGCAGAGAGCCTCAACTTTGCCCCACAGAGCAGCTGGTGGTTTAGAACTGCCGACTGGGCTGTCCACCTGTTGATGCCCTCGGCTCGCTTCACCCCTGGGCTGCTGCAAAGACAGACACAGAGCTGGCCCAGTGGGGGCTGTCCTTCAGCCGTTTAATCTCGGTCTGCAGCCAGTGTCAAAGGCTCCTCGTCCCTCTCCCCGCTCACCCTGCCTCTCCTCTCAGCACAACAACATCTTTGTGGCTCTCTCCTTCTCCAGGCTTCTCCTTCTGTCTGTGTGTCAGTCTCGGGGCCCTGGTGGTGCTGTTGGGTAAGTGTTGGACTGCTAACTGTAAGGTGGGTAGTTCAAAACCACCAGCAGTGTCAGTGCCAGGAGAGAGAAACGAGGCTGTCCGTTCCCGTGAAGATGACAGTCGGCGGAAGCCCGAGTAGGGCGACTCTGAGTCAGGATGACTCTGGGCTGTGGGCGTGGTGTTTTGGTCAGGGTGGCCAACAGTCTGTTTCTAGTTTGCTTACGTGCTGCATGCTTGGGACCTGCAGCAGGCAAACTTGTGGCCACAGGGTCCCTGGGAGCAGGATCAGGTGAACAGGGTGCCTGGCCTGGATGTCTGGTATGTGGGTGCCAGTGAGCTCAGGGTAATTGACACATTGAAGATCATTAGTTGGACCCCCCCCCAACCCCTGGGGAAAGTGGATGCTCCCCCAGAATCAGAGGGGCACGTGGTCAAAGACAGTTGTTCTCAACCTTCCTAATGCTGTGACCCTTTAATACAGTTCCTCATGTTGTGGTGACCCCTCCAAACCATAACATTATTTTCGTTGCTACTTCATAGCTGTCATTTTGCTACTTTTATGAACCGGGTGACCCCTGTGAAAGGGTCATTGGACCCCCCAAAAAGGTCGAGACCCACAGGTTGAGAACCACTGCTCTGGGTAGTGTTATCTCCCTCCAAAGATTTCATTTCCTTATGGTAGACAGTAATTCCTGGCTAGCTTTAGATTTGTAAAATATCTTTGCTCAGAATTGCTATTTGTTGATATGTTTGCCCGTTATGCCACTTGTTGAACAGAAATCTTTAATTTTGGCATAATCGCTCTTAAAATTTTTTTTGTATGTTTGCCAGTGGGCCTTGGCGTCCCCTGAGACTGTGGTCTTGAGCACCCAGGCCCAGCGACTCATCCCCTCAGGGCGTTTGGTCATGTCTGAGACGCTTCCATCACTTTGCCCGCTGTGGGCTCTACTATGTTCATGGACAGATTTTCAGCCAGGGTCCACGCCCATGTGGAAATAGCCCGTGTCCCACACCTGTTCAGCCTGCGTGTCTATCCGCGTAATCAACCTTATTAGATCAACCTTGTAGATCAACCTTATTACAGGATTGTGTGCAGACAGTCCTTGTCTCTGCTGCCTGCCTTCAGTGTTTGCAAACCTGCCGCCGGCTTCCCTGGCCTCGTTTGGCCAACTGCCTCCCCTCTGCACACTGCTGCCCCCTTCACCCAGGTTAACCCTTGTCCTCCCTCCAGCCCGCAGCTTCTTTTTCCTGCCACAGCCCCAGCGCCACCCCACCACAGAAGGTTCCCTGGAGTGTGGAAACCCTGTCTCAGTTCTTTCTAGCTGTGGTCTCATGCAAGATTTGCCCTCTGGTGATTGGCTCACTTCACTCAGCGCACTGTCCTCCTCCTTCATCCGCGTTAGGAGGGGTTTCACAGGGTTTGTCTGCTGTCATCTTCTTGCTTTTGGCAGCAGGGCAGTGCTGGACACAGCCGCGTGTGTCTGTTACTGCCCTGGCTCTCCTTTCTTACTTTTTTTTTTTTTTAAATTTTATTAGGGGCTCATACAACTGTTATCCCAATCCATACACACATCAATTGTGTAAAGCGCATGTGTACATCGTTTCTCAAAACATTTTCTCTCCATTTAAACCCCCGACATTAGGTCCTCATTTTTCCCCTCCCTCCCCGCTCCCCACTCCCTCATGAGCCCTTGATAGTTTATAAATGGGTATTTTGTCATATCTTGCCCTGTCCGACATCTCCCTTCATCCACTTTTTGGTTGTCTGTCCCCCAGGGAGGAGGTCACACACAGTTCCATGTAATCGGTTCCCTCTTCCCTACCCATTCTACCTTTACCCTCCCTGTTTTGCCACTCACACCACTGGTCCTATAGGGCTCATCC